TATAAATGGCATATCTTCAGTATTTAAAAGTCCTCGTTTTTACCTAAATAAAATATCAATTTATAAGGATTATTTCATTTAATAAATATATTATAATCAACCAATTATCTTTTCAAGTAGCGTGATAACACTGTTAAGTTCAATGATATAAATCATTGAATAAGTTTAAACTATCATCAAAAAGTCTTCTATGGTCTAAGAATATATATTAGCTGGCTAAGGATATAACTATGGCATAATTCAACATCTATTGTACATATTGTTTTCTCAAATAGCATTTTGCTGTACAGTATAACATTAAAAGAATAAATATGCTAATTTAACTTTATTTTTATTTTACCAAGTCGAATTCCTAAAAGGCCAACCGTTACTAAATAGTATGACACAGGTCTTTGGCGGCGCCAATGAGATGCTTACCGACAAAAAATGGGAACCTTCATAAATTAGTTTTGAACTTTACAGCAAGGGCTCCTAATTTTACAACCACCATAAATTTATTTAACACCTCCTCAGGGCTATGAGGGTGAGTTAAACCTTGTTGTAAGTTATGACACCAATATACCGATAGTAATATCATTTAAGAGCTCATACCTTAAGTAGGCCCACACTAACCTTAGTCTTATGTTGAAGACACCAGAAATGTACCACTGGTAATTTAGTGTCACTACTTTAGGTGTTAATCTTAACCACCTTGTTCTCAATACTTAAAAACGATATAAGCATTCATTAAAATATTGAGAAATATTTTTCGAAATTATTTAAATATAGAGTTGGTCTAAAGTTATTACATTTTGCAAGTGAGTCTTATAATTCCGTGAGTGTTGAAGAACAATGAATAAGCTTTCAGTTTTAGTATGGGGCATGTTCAGAGTAAGAGGCTTGGTGCTAATGTAACAAATTAATTACTTTGGCTTATTATAAGTTAATTCATGTATCCGGTTGGAAAATCATTCAAAGATGTGAAGACGATGTATATGTAGGTGTAGATTATATAAATTAACTTCGGTGAGTGTGAAAGTGAAGCGACAGAAATCTGGATAGAGTTAATCCACACTGTAGTAGTTAATGTTGTAGTTGTGTCCACCTCCACATCGGTACACAATGACAATATTATATTACAAAAATCATGAAGTGAAGGAAAACGTAGCTATTATGGGAGTATACAAGCTCTCCTTGATAAGTGGCTAGAGTAGTTGATTCAAAGACACGTTTTTTGTAATATTAGGAAGCTCATATAAACATTCTCTATCAATTCGCTCAATTCGAAGTGTCCATCGATTCGTTTAAAGATAGATTGACAAACAACATTAATTTGAACTATTATCAAGGGAACATTTAGTTTAGTTCCTAGTTAGTTGTAGCCAGTTCCAGGATTTAAATAACATAGTTCAATTCAGCCACCAATAGAGTGTGGCTGCAAAAACCAAAAATCAAAAAGTCAAAAACTTTTAGCCAAAAGACATTTTTGGCAAAAAGTCAAAATAGATGAACATTAAGTCAATATGTAGATGCCTAGATTCAATTTTAATAATTTAATTACAGCCATTTCCCCAAAAACTGAATCTACTCAATACAATTGTACCCTATATTTGTAAATAGTTCAACAAATAATTCATTTCAAACTGAAACTGAATGAAATTTCGAAAATGGGTTTGAAATTGGACGGAGACCTGAATACGAACCGCAGAATAATATAAGGATACAACGTGTAACATTAAAATATACTACACAAAAGATGACTGTGTAACTTTTTCTGAAGATTTTTGGGAGATATTCTTGACCTGATGACGCTTCATCTTGAACGAAGGTCTGCGGCGGAAATACCAACCTTTTTGGAATTTGAAAGATGTTGTTCGTTACCGGCTATGGACAAATCATTATTCCAGTCCCGAGTGTCTGAAAATTAATATTTGTGATCGAACTTAAATCCTTCTTTCAAGGTGTATTGTGTTTATTTTACACATTTCTGTATATATTAGAATTTAATCATTGCCAAGTTGAACCTATCCGACGATTTTTGTTATAAAAGTAGAAGCAAAATTATGTTCCAAGTATATTTAAATTTTAATTGTTACATGTTTTGACTTCTTCTACGTACACCATTGTACTAAAGGAAAGCAATTAACACACTGATGAGTTATAAACAATGTTTTTGGGTGATTTTGAATGTGTTAATTTAACCTACGATATGTTCTCCAACAATGTGCGGCTTATTGGGTTCTTCGAATTTACGACTGTTAATAAATTTATTAATTGAATTTGTAATGTTTGATTATTAATTCAATAAATGAACGATTGGATGATTAGCTATATAATCAAAAGTGACAATCTCGTCGCACCCTCATGTATTTACTGTATTTAGAATTTGTATGATCAGAAGCTCTGTATTATTGGTATAACAAATTTATCACAAGATTTATCATCCTGCATGACATCCTAGACTCCTAGTAAAAATTTTAAAGAGATTATTTATTGAGAAATTACATTCTCATAGAACAAACTTACCAAAAACAAAACAACGTAAATATATGACACTGCTTACCCAATTCTTCATTGTACATTTATTCCTAACTCATTTGAAAATAAATTTGATAAGCGCACGAGATAAACTCCCAATTCAGTAGCCGATGAAACATTGTCCACAAATCGAAAAGTTGCAATCAAAGAGGCCGCTGTGTTTTTGGCTGACCATTCGGGGAGGAGGGGAATCGAAAATGCGGAGGAGGGAATTTTAAATTGGTCCTTACAAGACAATTTACAGCTGGGCCGGCAACACCGACATAAAACACGAGCACAAAAAGTTGGTTGGCGCGAAAAACTGCTTGCATTAATGCATGACCGCGCGGCGGGCCGGCTTCATGCGGCCTGGCGAGCCTGCCGTTACTGGCGACTAGGAATTTGTGTACTGCGTACTACAAAATGAGAATCCAAAGATATTTTTCATAATACAACATATCTGTAGGAAACTTATTTTCTTGGGTACCCTGAGAGTTTATTAGGAATCATTTCTGGGACAGCAACGCCCTAAGGGCGTATTTTAAACAGAATATGAATTCAAGCTGATTTAAAAATGTATTTAGGTCATCTGTGGGTATTGTTAATACTATGATCAGCTGTTCCTTATCTACCATTTATGTAAAGCCCAATGATAAAACCGCTAGTGCCAGTTTCAAACCATCAAAAAGCTACTGAGTAAAAATCTTCGCTATGAATCCGTGTAAAACAGCCCTGAAATCCATGACGGCTTCATGAATATTAAGACTTGGCTTGCCTTTACGGGAAACTGGAATTTGTGTATGACTGCACCATTCAAAAATAAGAATCCAAAATACTAGTCCATAACTGATCTTCATGTAATTTCTTTCCTAGACACCTTTAAAGGTTTATTGGGCATGAATTGGTCTACGAATTCCCCGTTTTAACAATCCAGAATTAGTCTATAACGACTTTGTGTGTATTGCACCTTATAGTGCGTGTCTGTCATGTTGATTGGGAGTTTGTTTACATATGTACTGTTCGCAAGGGAGAACTCATAACAAATTAATAGTAATTAATATTTCCCACCTATTGTGTTTATTAGGGATGAACTAAGAATTTGTCTAAGTTAGGAATCAGAAACAGTCCTAACTAATTGTTCTGTCACATATGCATATTTCTGGATTTTGCTTGAACATACAAAGTCAAACATACGGAGGAAAATGACAGCACGGAAATATTAGAGCTTTCATTAAATTATTGGTCAAGTTTACTTTTTATTCGGTATTCGTATTGGATATTAAATATTTTCTCTGTGATGTGATGTAAACTTTAACTGTGTAAATAAGTGATTTTCAATAGATTTTTGTAAATAGATTAGGCTAATATGCACAACTGGCCAGAATATGTTAAATGATTATAAGTCTTGACTGCACGGTAAACAGGTGCAAATTAAACAAATTTGTATTAAAGTTTTAAAACACACTTGAACTGTAGTTTTAAAGTAAATTAATTGGGATATTACCTCAAGCCTGAAACTAAAATTAAGCTTGGGATGAAATGATCAAATGTGAAAGATGTTCCCAGAAACACTCCAGTTGGTAGAAATGTGTTATTCGCAATGCTTCATAGAATGCTGTATATATACAGGGATACATACTGGGGTTCGTATTTTACAATGAACTACCACGCCTATAGTAGGGAATAAAACATAAATTAAATTATTTTCAAAATACAGTGTTTGTTATTATGTTCACAATGCACTGTGCAGTGTGCAACGATAACTTTGTCAACATATTGATGTATTTTCTAATGGCGATAAAAAAGAACGTTTTTGATCGGGTATGTGTATTTAAATTGTACCTAAAATGAGTCAAAAATTAAAGAGAACCTGGACCATGATATATTTGTTGGGTAAGCATACGTAAGCATACGTTTACGTTTGATTGTTTTTAAAAGTCCATCAATTCAAACATTATTAATATGGTTTATTTAACTTATATGTCTAAAATTAATGTCAAAATTGAAAAAAAATATTGAAATGTAAATTGTAAGAAGTCATAACCTAAATAGTCATAATCCAAATCAATTCGTGTTAACATAGAGCTAAAAACTATAAAAAATACGTCGTCAGCTACTACTTTACATACTATGTAAAGTAATGTAGTTTATTTTATTATAAATGAATGAAAAAACAATAAAAAGCTGGAAACACAAAACAAGCAAATCAAATCTATGATCATCGACAATGCTATCGTTAAAATGTCCACCATAAACATATTTCCCAATAATGGATAAAATAGAACAAAATACACGAATAAATGTACAAATGAAATTTGAAGAAAAACAAACCACTTAGAACTTAATAAAAATAAGATAGACAAAAGATAAAAATATCCGGCATTGAAAAATATTTACCTATCAAGTCGATAAAGCAAACAAAAACCATTATTAAATTGTAAATAAAATCTCTAAAAAACTACATAAAACTCTAAACAAAAACAATACAAATCCACAGAACTTACCTCAAATTCCTTCCTCACAGTAAACACTTTAAATAATCACAAATCACAACAAAATCCACAATCGCACAGCTCGAGATCGTGGCAGGTGAGTCATCGGTGATTAGTGGCAAGGTACACAATTACGCGGCAAAACTAGTGATTATGGCGGGGTCGGCCATGTTAGTGTGGGCCCAGACAGCGTGGCACCTCTGAGACGGCGACGGAGTGTCTGGCGGTGAAGTGGTGGAGGGGGGCGTCTAGAGGGGTTCCTCAGGGCGCTGTTCTAGGTCCGCTAATGTTTACGAGCGATTCTTCTTGCAGAACTATCTAAATACCTTGTAAACCCTCAATTTGAATGTTTTGGAGTTGAAGATGATGGAGGTTTTTCATCATGGCTGGTGTTTAAAGTGCATTTTGATGGGGTTCTTTTCTGCGTACTATATCTTCGTCCACAATCATACATCATATTCCCTTTTCCTTGGTGTCTGTTTAAGAATGAAAATGAACATAGTTAATTCGGGATACCAACAAGGTTCGCTATTGCAAACTACTGATTTCTATCGTATATATGGTTGTTTTAACCGTTTGAGCATTTTACATTACAATACAGATCTTTCTCTCTTGTTGGTTAAGTGCACTAAGATGTTTTGGAAGGATTGATGCAGATTTTGGCTTATCTTAGCCACCATCATTAAAATTACTTTTAAGAATGCCATTTAGTACTGATTACGAATGAAATAAGATGAATAGTTATTGTATAATGATCTTTCTAGCTTTGTTATTGACGAAGACCAGCAGTTTCATCGATCAGGAAAATTTATTGAAAGGCCAAAGATTAAATCACCGGGCTGGGCCCGATTTTAAATCAATAAAGAGCTGCTGGATTTTCACCGGATTGAACAGGTGATCTTCCAAGTCCTATGTTTAAGTTTTAGAATGAAAGTAAAGGTACAAATCCAACCATCGATAGCGTGTGCTACTATACAGTGAAATAGTATATTACTTATTCACTTATCTGTGACAACTGGAGATTTATCATTTCATTTCATCCATGTCCACCAACTGTTTTAACCAAGTCACACTGAAAACACCAATTACAGACAACTATAACTTTCAGTGATATATTTAATGTAACATCAATTTATCAATGGACAGAAGATTTAGATATAAAATTTTGACATTTTGGCTATGTGATCGGCTTATTCTATGTCCCATTTTAATTAAATATTGGCTCTAGATGGTGGTTAAAAATGGATTGTCTACTTTGGTAAACAAAGACAATGCTTAGTAGAGATTATCTTTTGACAGAATAAACAGTTTATAGGCTAATTCACGTTTTTATTGAGAATTCTAGAGGGAAAGCTCTCTAAGTATTGATTTTAATTTATTAAATGATGATGTCCCATGACAATTTATTGTCTACATTTCACTTTGTTAATCATAATTGATCAATTTCAAGATGAATTTGTTTTCTGGGGAGTGGAACTGCATATGCTTTATGTGCGATATTAATAAATCAGGCAAGCTTGATCTTAATCTTTACAAAATACTTGCATGCCAACTCTCTTCGTTCTCCTTTAAATAACTTTCATGTACAGTAAATTCTCGTAATTTCGCTCTCAACAATTTTCTTGTTGCATTGTAAGTGCCCTCCTCTTTTATCTGATGCGTACCAAGCCCCAAGTACTTTCATCTTAAACTATAATTGAGATCACGAGTCTAGTGGAAAGTTCCCCTTCAAGACAGCAGGAAATCCTCAAGCGACTGCACCGAAGGAATTTTCTATTCAAACTTAACAATAAGAAAGGTATAAGTGATAGAAAGTCCCTCCTCCTGGGTTCCCAGCCCAGGTCCTTGAGCTCTCACGTCAAATTACCCACAATCTGTGCTTTTTGGTCCAGGAGCCCCTTGCATCGGTCACGGCTCAGCGCAGAAAAACGAACAAAGGAGCAGCAGAGGGCATCAGGTCGTTCATCCTCGACAAGAACTTGTTTATAATAAAATCATCACAGCTTAATCCAGGACTTCTTGGTGAGCAGAGTCTTTCAACAAGAATATCGAGGGGATTAAGTGTTGTATTATTTTATTGAGTGCAACTTTTATTCAGCACTGAACTAATTGAAAGAGAAATAATGATCTGGACTGGTTTGATGATTGGGGCTTTCTGGCGTGGATCCTGAATACAAATTTCTACAAAGACCAGATGTTTTAGCTTTGAGATAGTATCAGTAGTATTATGCTTTTACAACAATTTTACATTTTGATATAGTTGAAAGATCAACTCAAATGGTTCTTTTTTTATTTGGCTGTTTGGATGGTGTTGGTTGTTCGAAGCCAACTTTAAACAGTTGGCTAAGGAGAAAGGAAGATAGAAAAAGAACTGTCTCTGTACTAAAGATGTGTCTCAATAAGAGAGCAATAACGCCATGTGGTTAGAGGAGCAACTCCAGTTGGGTTTTTTGTTGGTACAGTACCATTACGTGGTACCACCCCATTGCCATAACGAACGAAGTACAGTACTGTACAGTTGTATGAATATCAATCTCCTCTAAATCCTTGTGACAAAAGGATTTTTCACCTCTTTTGAATTGCTTCTTTGTCTTTAAAATTTATCCAATGACATATTATTTCTGTTCATGAGAAATTCCCCCCGATTCTAGGTGACAGCCTAAATTTTAAGAAACGGTGATACAACTATGTCAATTTTTACTCACAAACGCAGTTAAACCTTTGAGAGAACTTCTCGTGGGTGCACTGAAACGGATGGATTTTAATTTCAGTTGTTAGTTCGTTTTATGTATTAGTTTTTCTGTAAGGTGGATGTCTCAGTAACTGGAGCAGTAACAGAATTTTAAAGGAACAGAATTGACAATGCCGTATAAACTGTTAACGTGCCGTTAAACTCTTGCTTGGTTAACGTGTGTGAAGAGCTCTATAGTACTAAAATGATTGACTTGGAATAAGATTATTTAAGTCAAGGCCTCATAGAATTTGTACTCAAGTGTTTGGTTTTATTAGTTAAACCATTCTTATTTATCTTTATTTGATTGGTGTCGTTGGAGATGTAAACACGTTTATACCAAAAGCTCAACAAACTTAATTGGAGAAGCGTTCCTTGAAGGGACAATGGATGTTGTGGACAGGAATCGAATGAAGAAAAAGGACCAAAGACAACTGGATCCAGTTATGAACCATCAAAAAACTCCTGAACTTTCTTAAGCTCGATCCAACTACGTTCTCATTATAGAACGCGCACCTTACTTATTAACTCATCTACTAATCAATTTTAGTACTACACTGTAGGTTTATCCATTTATAAAAATAAAAAGCATAGGTTTCTTAGAGAATTGTCTCCTTATTGGTAAATTCCCCACACTAAAAGCAATATGATAATTAATTAACCCTGTAAAACTCTCAGTCCCAAAACGCTGTTGAAATGGAATAATAACACATAGAATGCAGTAACGCCATGCAGAGGTTACTCCAGCTGCTCAGATGTAATTTGGATTCAGCCCAGCGCCCACGTGCCCCCGGGGAGTTCAACATAAATTACACATCCAATTACTAATAACATTTTTAATGACACCTCTACGCCTCCCCCGTGGGGTGCCTTCCTCAATGATGGTACTTGCCGCCACTGATTGAGTGGGCTTTCTATATGTGAACCGCTTAGTTGATGGTTTGCCTCTGCATCTCAACAATTCCATATCGCTAAGTTTTGTAAGGTTTACGCAAGAACCTTTGAACTTACCTGTATTACTTTAGAACCTGTATTACTATCATTATCATTACTGTAACACAGAAACGTACATCTAAGCGTTGAATATGAACAAATGAATGTGAGGCTATGCTATATTCGAGGTTTAGATACTGATTCAGATCAGATAGTTGTTTCTTTAGCAAGAATCATTTGTCGACCCCACGATTAAAGAAAACTGGGAATCATCAAAAAGGCAATTTTGGCAAAAATCTCTAAGTTTGCTGATAACCACAAGATCACGGCATGGCCCAAACACAATGGTGATGCAAGGGATTTTTAATATGACTCTGCAATTGGTGTCCTTAACTCTGCACCTCTATAGATGCTGGTCTACTTCGAAATTTCACAATGATGATTCAGTTAGTAGGTCTTATAATGGTATCATACATACTGACATTTCTTTCTTTGTCATTAGTATTGAAAGGGCTAGGTATTATTCGTACACTGAGAATCTATTAATTGCCAAGAGCTCAGGAGAAATCGTAGGTGCTAGAGTAATATGATCCAGGTCCGAAGTCCGAAGTTCAAACCCAATCAAATTGAGCTGAAATACGAGCAAGGAGATGATATCTAAACTGCTCCGCAGCCTACAGTGTCCAGTCACGACGTCAGTATCTGATGTGTAAGTCGTCACACCCACACCTCCTGTACTGTGCTTTGCCATCGGTTTCCATACCGCCTCTACGGTTTCTTTTCGAACGGTTACAACGTCTATTGAACTGTACATTTGTCATCGGCATACATGCTTCGTGGACTGTGCCTCTGCATCGGCATCCAAACCTCGTTTACTGCACATCTCCGCCAGTTTCCAAACCTCCTATATTTTACATCTCCATCGGTTTCAACACCTCCTGAACTGTACATCTAACATCGGTGTCGAGATCTCCTGTGTCTACTGTATAATTCTAAAATTGGTTGTACAACTGTATAACTCTGTAATCGATTTTTTTCTACTTGTATTGTGCTTTTTTCTAACCACCTTTAATCTTACCACTGTTAGCTATCCTTTAGTGCTAGATAATTTGTTCTAAGCAAACCGAAGTAAATGCTAATGTATCTTTGTATTGCTGTTTATTGTTGAAATAAAAGCTGATTCTCATAACAGCCAATCTAAATTTACATCCATAGCAATTTCACTACCAATTTAAAATTCAGATTCTTTCCGTTAAGAACTTATCATTTTACACCTTTTCCTATTACAGTTAAGGAATTTACTTAAATTTCTCAACTTTAGGAAACGCTACCCTCGTTTCTATGAAAGCCACCTAAAAATGACTTGTAAAGTTTACATTTAACCCACTCAAGTTGGTCGGATGATATTTCAACTGAGGCAGAATATATTGTCACTAAAGCAAGACAGGAATGCATTTTTCACTCTTTCTCTCTCACACAGAAGGCGTGAAGCCTGTAATCCCTGTGATCAGAGGTCCTAACCACTATAATCATGCCTACTGTCCTCCACACCTCCACCTACTCGACAAGTCTCCTTCTGGGAATATATTTATCTGGAGCCTAACTAACGCGAGGCCA